TCTGTAAATGGCGCACAGTTTTGACCTTTGGAACTAGAAAAAGTGCAGTGGTTGAATATTGACAGGGTTCCAATCATGCAGAGTGATGCTCACATATTGAATGAAGTGGTTTTTGTTCTCTCTGCATTCTCTCCTGTCTGACAGACCGACAGACCAGAATTCTTTTGTGATTTGTTTTTGAGCGTGTGCAGTACCGTAAAAAAGTGTATGATACAGGGATGAGATTTCTCAGCTTTTTAGCGGATTTCAGCTTTTGGGGTTTTTGATTTCAGCTTTTTTTTTCTCACTGACTGTGTACAAAAGTACAGGAGATTTTCACAGTTCAGCTTCTTAATGCCTTTTTTTCAACTGCTTTCAGCTATTTTTATCATTGGTCAGTCTTACCCCTGATGATGTGACATTGACAAAGCACTACATGAACATACATGTATACACGTGCATGTGTTGTACCTGAGTGGGAGTCAAATTTATGGGCAGCGCTTGGTGCAGAAGTGCCAATAATTTGGTGTTCATGACTACGTCGTAAATCGCCAGGGTGCTACAGGTGCACAAACCAAGTTCTAACGCTGTTGTTACAACTTGAGCTGTCCTGATGCACTGGTGCATGTATGCACAGGTGCATGTACATGGGTGATTCTACAAATTAGGGGTCCAACTTGGGGACATTTTGGTGTCCTGTTTCACGTGAAGCCATTCAACTTTTCTTCATGTAAAATTGTAACCACATTATCAAACATTGTGCAGATTGAACATACCGGTATATTGTACAAGTCACAAACAATGTAATACTGTTTGATCTACAGAATGTGAACAGTACTAATATTAGTTCCATCCAGAAAAGCTGAATGGTTTCACCCGTAACAGAACACCAAAATATCCCCAAGTGGGACCTCTAATTTATATAATCACCCACATGTAAAACACAGCAATGAGGATTATCACAAATGTATGTACTCTGTACCTTTGAAATCTGCTCAAATTTGGCACGGGCCTTCGTGATTTGACAGGCACAAATTGAATTCCGTGCTCCAGTTTTTTTAAATCCCGTATTGTGCAGATACACACGGTAGAGTATTCAGTGGAAATACATGTAAACAGTAAATACGGCAAAAAATAAAATACACATATCCGCATCATCTCCTGGAGTAAAGGCTCCAATGCACTTGAGCTTATCGGTACGGTATTTTGCTTGAGGAGCTTTACAAATGAAGCATTTCAAGTGGTTTACGTTGCCTATCATATTACAACTTACAGGCTTCATCACAGGGTGCCAGTCAGGTTAAGTTGATGTACATGCATGTGTGTACATGTAGCATGCATGTTGGTGACTTGCATCAAAGACTGTCCAGGTTCTGTGGCTTCAGCAAGGCCTGTACTATCTAATACAGGTACATGATGTACGATACCTCAGTGACCCAAATAAATAATTCAAAGCTTATTACTGCTCAGTGTTCAGAAATTGTCTGCTGTTGTTTGTAGTGGTAGGACAAAGAAAAAGGATCATTGGATGTGACTGAATATCTCACTCACCTGCTCTTAATATATTATGTTCACACACATACCGGTAATGCAATATATTGTGCCAACCCAAATACATGTACATGTTCCTGTCCGCCTTTTTCTAAATTTACATGTACGTACTCTGATATTCTTTGCTTAAATGACATTTATTTCTGATTTGCTTGAATGACATTTATTTCTGATTTGCATGATGTCTGAAATTTGTACAAGCGCAGTCCAAGGCTCCATAATTGGTAACTTGATTGACAGCTCCACTGTACATTAGTCAGCAGCTTGCATGCAGCAGAGCTTACCAGAAGTTACCAGTATCTCATTATTGAAGGTACATAGATATATGTGAGTGCAGTTATGTGGATCTCTGTTTGAATTAATGCACAGTGCCCACTAAGGTATGTACACTGTAGTGCTGGCTCCATAATGGCAGTGCACTAATGAGTATTTTTCTGCATTGGTAATTAAATGGCAGACAAGTACAGCGTGTAGACCTGTACATCCTACATGTACATGTAGCAGAGGCTATGAGTCATCTGGCACTAGCTGGGCCCATGTACATGTATAATACACAGGCCATTGACCATGCATGTCTATTGACACAACCACCATGGCCCCTTGCTTTTTGTGGTCCTTGTGGACAAGCCGGGGACCCCAAGGGACGTCAGCGGCAGTGTGTCCACTGTCTTGACTGTTTCATTAGAATTTCAGACCGGGGACTTGGTTTTCTTTCAGGATCGTTTCCGTGAATAATCCCCCGTCTTTTAATTAGCAGATTCTGGCTAAAGTCGCCACACGGAGATTGTAAAGACACGTACATCTTTTGTAAATTTGTGAGGATTAATTTATGATTAAGTAAGGATCAGTGTAATTCTGACTCTTTATTTTCTTTCTCATTTATTTATAATTTAGACCAACATTGAATTCTCAGCGTTGTAATTAATGCTTCACAGGTCATAAGATTCCTGTTCCGTGTTCCAACACATTTTAATTTTGGTGTTGATTAATTATTTATGCCCACGTTCATGCCCATATGCTTGAAAGTGTGAATCAAATGATCAGTCAATAGAGATGAATGGATTTTTGAGGACGTTAATTGATCACGAATGTAAGTGCAGCTTGTGTGCTTGTGTTCACATTTGAGCTTTGAAGATTGATGTACATGTGGGTAATTCCAGAAATGACACACATGTAGGGGTCCAAGAGTGACATATCATTATATAGTGACAAATATCACCAGAATTGATTTCAAACTATTTCTATTTTTTGGGCAAGTAATTTGTATTAATTCATCACTCATGGACATTAGACAATGTGTTCTGAACTTGCAAAATCGTATGTCAGATGTGACAGGGACATAGAAAAGGGACCCCTAATTTCTGGTTTTACCCATGTACATGTACATAAAAACAGGCACACATCAAGCACTACAATTTGTCGGCATGGTTACGATCTTCCCTTCTCTCCGGCAGTTTAAGAAGGATCTGAAGACTCGTCTCTTCAATGAGGCATTTAATTAACTTCTTTGCACTAGCGCCTTGAGCACCGTGGTGGATCTGTGCGCTCTGTAAATCGTCATCATTATTATTATTATTAGTACAGGTGCATGTACATGTACACTTTACTAATTGTCAAAGAGCAAGGAGACCGCCTGCTATCAAAGCGGATCTTGTTGTTAGAGAATTCGATTTCGTCTCACTTTCAGCTTTTGATTCCGTGCTCTTTCTTGCAAAATCATATGTCAGATGTGACAGGGTCAAAAAAAAAAGGGACCCCTAATTTCTGGATTTACCCCATGTACATGTACATTAAAAGAGGTACACATCAAGCACTACAGGTACTGTACATTTTACTGTATTGTCGTATATGTAGACAGTACTGTACATGTATATGTATGTACCAGTGCAGTAATTGGGCAAAATACGTGTACATGTACAAATGTGTCATACGAGCTTCATTTCTGATATGCAGGGGCCAATTTCTTAGAGCTGCTAAAGCACTGGATGTAAGCACGAAAAAAGCTTGCTTAATAAACAAAGGTTAGCAGTTCAAACTATGTGATTGTCATGCTAACCAATAAACAGGTGAATACCATTCCAAAACAGTATACGTGTACATCACTAGAAGTTTTGGCTGGTAACCCGATTTGTCGAGCAATTTTTTTCACGCTTGAGCAAATTTTTCGCCTAAGCAATGCTATGAAATTGGCCCCTGCACTGGTAACATTGTACATCTACATGAACGTGTACAGTGTTCTTTGTAAAAGTGGGTAACATGCATAATACCCGGTATACATGCACATGTGTGTACATTTGGCTGAAGTTATAAACCAAAGCTTTACCAGCTGTGTTGTAAGCTGCTCTGTGGCCTACGCTTGTACCGGTACATGCACCGTTGCCAATAAATTCACTCTTTCCCATGTTGCAGAGTTAATATGCACATGCTCTGTAATCAGGGGTGTGAGAATTCAGCTTTTTTAGCCGATTTCAGCTTTTTTTAGTACAGATTTTGACCCTGAATTTCAGCTTTTATGAACACCTGGACTGTACCAAAGTATGGGAACTTTTTACTCTTCAGCTTTTTTGCTAGCCGTTTTCAGCTTTAATCTCAGGTGGCCACTCACACCCCTGAGTAATACTGACACGTGTAACAGGTTTATGTCCTTACCTCTTGCTTGCATTGTTCCCAAAGTGTTTGCATGGACGATGCCTCGCCAGGCTGGCTGCATGACTTAATGCACATTGGCCAGATATTCAAGCAGAAAGTTCCACTAGAAATCGAACCAGAGAAACGTTCTTCAGACTGGGTTTGTTACGTGCACCTGCTGAAATGTGTACAGACTTTGCCTTAAGTGTCGATAACTAGATTCACCCCAGTACTCAGACTGGCTTGACGGGGCAGTTTTTCTGCACACTCACTCTGCTTCCTGTCACCTGATCAGTCCCCTTTCCCTTCTGCTGATTTACAATTTCCCTTTCCTTTTCCCCCTCCTGGTCAAGTCCCCACCCTGCAATTCAGCAGAAACCCCCGTATGCCAGGAAATGGAAGAGGCCGTTCTTTTTTGTCCTGTTTTCAGACCGTTTCAGTAACTTCTAAAGTTGCTTGTCTTTTTGTTTGGTTCATCATGGAATGTGTCACAAAGAAATCTACATTAAAACCAATTTAACAAAAGCTAGCATTTGTCTTTTGCTGGAAAACTGTTTGACCGTTCCATTCTCACATTATAAGAGGTAGAAATCAATGCAGACAGTGAAGATCCGAAATTAGTTTTTTTTTTTCTGCCTCCAACTAAAAGATTCCACAGCGTCGTCTCGATACACTCCCTCGAGAGTACTGTACTCATAAACCTGTGAGAAAACACATTCACTCAACAAAGAGAGGGACTCCTCATAAGAGCCACAGCAGTTGCGGGTTTTTTTGGTTTTGGTGGGGTTTCTCTTCGTCAGGAACTTGTGATGTATTCTAAGGTCTCTTCTCACCATTTTCAGACGGCTCAAGCTCGTATCCTGATCAAAGGAGGCAAGGTGGTCAATGCCGACCACTCCTTTCATGCGGACGTCTACATTGAGGATGGAACCATTCGGTAAGTTCAATCTGCTCAAACTAAAACTGCCCTTAACGTTTGAAAGATAAAGAAACTGGTTGTTTGTCAGCAAATCGCTTGTGATTGGTTTGAAAGGTTTTTGCAGCGTGCACACACATCATTTACGTGCCAGATGCATATCTGTCTTTGTTATTTGCTCAAGTGAAAGAAAGTTTTCCTGTACTCTTTTGGAAAAGGCCAACAGCATCTTTATTTATCCTCAAGAAATACTGGGTACATACATGTACACATTGTGAATGGGAATGTCTTGAATCAAGACTACCAACCAGCACAGTCATCATGGAGTCCATGCGAGGATTGGAGGACTCTGCTGTAAAGACTCTGTAATGACTGAACTCTTCTGATCCTTTATGTTTTTTGGTGACTCCAGACAAGTTGGCAAGGACCTCATCACCCCTGGTGGTGCCAAGGTCCTGGACGCCAAGGGCAAGCTGATCATTCCTGGAGGGATCGACACTCACACCCATATGCAGATGCCCTTCATGGGCACCGTGGCTATCGATGACTTCTACCAGGGAACCAAAGCTGCCTTGGCTGGAGGAACTACCATGATCAGTAAGGACATACAGGGAACTAGCAGTGTCATGTTCAAGTACTACATAAGTACTTTACACGTATTCACAGCATGATCAGTTATTAAGACACAGAGGTTGGCAGTGCCATGGTTAAGTACTACACATGTATGACATGTACATGTACATGTACTTCACAAGCAATCACAGTCTTATAAGTAAGGACTCACAGGGAGGCTAGCAGTGTGTCGTGTTTGAGTACTACCTAAGCACTTCAGAAGTATTCAGAATGTGATCAGTAAAGGCATAAAGAGAGGCTAGCAGTGCCATGGTCAAGTATCACATCAGTACTTTACAATTATTCACATTTACTTCTGAGGCACATGTACACGTACCTCACAGGCACCAGAGTTTCTGTTTAGCCACAAACCGTCGATCTGAACTGGAACCAAAGACATTCCTGTGTTATCGTTAACCTGCCATTTGTTTTGAAAGTGCAATAATGACAACCAGTAAAATGTACAAGTTTGTGGAGGTTTGACGAAGTACTGTTAATTTGAACACTGCCCAGTTGTCACTCGTCCTGTTCGTGGACTTAAGATCTGAGGTCAACTAATGGATCACAAGGTGGTCTTCATGTTGAGCTAGTTCTTGGCAAGGGATCTGTACACAGAGAATTGGTAATTCATTCAAGAGAAGATTCCTTTGGAAGTGGGACTTGGTGTAATACATGTAGGTACCTGGTTCTTAAAAGGTTCATACTCAAGGTTTCTGTGCTCAAAATCAAACTGAATAGAACTGGGTAGAACTGGATAGGACTGGAGAGAACTGAATAAGACTGGAAAGAACAGGATAGAGCTGGATAGAACAGGATAAAGCAGGAAAGAACAGGATAGAGCTGGATAGAACAGGATAAAGCAGGAAAGAACAGGATAGAGCTGGACAAAACTGGAT